TTAACTGTTTTTAAGACAGTATTAGGCAAGGCCTGTTGTTGTTGTTGTTGTTGTTGCAGTTCTTCTTCCTTTTCTTCTTCTTCTATTTATTACTATGCTATTATGATAGCCTAAAAGAAAGGAGTTATTTAAAGCCTTATTTGAGCTGGATTAGTTTACCAGAGGTGGTAATGGAATATGTATTTCACAAAGCAGAATTTCTCAGTTTAGTGAGATTAACTTAAGCCCATCCAGTAGGAAAAGAACTGAGGAACATTTCTATTGGACGATTATCATCTTTGAGCTCACCTGGCTAACTGAGAAACCCTGCTTTGAGAAATACCCCCTGCCCGGGTTTTGTCTGGCCCTTTTGAACAGTGTCTGTAAATGTTTCTTTTACCCAGATAGCCTGGATGTACATGCCAGCAAAACAAACCCCTGTTACAATTACAGAGACATGTGAAAACTAAAGACATTGCAGGTGCAGACTGGATGTAATAACTTACATTATGTGGCCCAGAACTGTTCTGTAATGCGGCAGAATCGGACCAGATCTGTTTTGAAACATGTGGTTAAATACATATGAGTTTTTTATATGTGGGCCTCTTTCGGCTTACATGTAGGTTGCCAGTGCTGACAGTGGTCCAGCAGTGGCAGACGTGGCCCACATCCGCTCACTATCTGGGAAGTTCACAGTTATTCACTTTTTACAGTGTAGCTGCTACAACCATTAAACAGTTTCCACTGTTTGTGAAATCACCTTCGACTGAATTTATATTTTTTGAACACTGTATTTTCTTACATTGCAATTTATTAGGGGCAGCACTGTGGTGCAGTGGGTGGCGCTGTTGCCTCACAGCAAGAAGGGGTTTGATTCCCTGGCCGAGCGACCAGGGTCCTTTCTGTGTGGAGTACTGTGGGGGTGCTCCGGTTTCCTCCCACGGTCCAAAGACATGCAGTCAGGCCAGTTGGACACGCTAATAAAGGTGTGAGTGTTTGTGTGAATGTATATGTCTGTATATGGATGAGTGACCTGTCCAGGGTGTATCCTGCCCTTCACCCAGTGACTGCTGGATAGGCTCCAGCTCCCCCCGCGACCCAGAAGGATGAGTGGCTTAGAAGGTGTGTGTGTGTGTGTGTGTTTTTTATTAGACTGTATGTTATATTGTTTCTCTCTGTTTATAACAGCAGTAAGCAACTCAAGGCATTGTGTTATGGGGCCCTGATCTGGTAGGTAGGTAGATTGATTTCCTCAGGTGTTGAAAAACTATGAATTTCATTTCCTTAAACACACCTGAAATGATTAAACAGGGCATTTGCCAAAAGATAAATGTAATTAGTTTAAGGCTTATATTTGGAAATATAAATCTACATCGGTTTATAAATGATAACATATTTAATCTTCGTACAATGAACACATGGATGAGCAATTTTGAAGGGTGTATATCAGTAAGTACATGCTTAAGAGAGCTTGAATTGATGTTTGCTGCCATCTAGTGTTCTAAAGGGAGGATAAATTCTTAGGTGCTTTTAGCCCTGTGGAACCCTGAAGGCTAAGACTATACACCCATGTAACACTGCAGACTTACAGTTGTGTGCAAAAGTTTGAGCGCCCCCCAGTCAAATGATGTTTTATTGATTCAAATATGGCATTTTTAGCCAACTGTAATGAACCATTTCTAGACTTTTCTTTTTAGTTTTGCATGTTGGGGAAGAAAGGTGCCATAACTTTTGCAGAGGCGATGGGGCAATCCATTCTTTTCATCTTCCATCTAATTGTTGCATTCTCACAGTGTTAAAAAATGCACTGGTCTGTCATTCACTACTTTAAAAAAGTAGCAGTTTTTTGGTCTGAAAAAAATTATACTTGGTGTTAATGGGCATTTACTGAGGTGGAATCTCTTCAGGTGGTCAGCAGGGACAGATCAGGGACGTGCGAGGCTCCTGGGCACCAGAGTCTTTGGAGGCCACCCACCTTTAAAACAAAATGTATATAAAATAACACTGGAAATATGCTTATAGTTTTGTTTTTGAAAATCTGACTGTTTACATCATAACCGAATAAGTTGTGCTTGCAGTAAAAAATAAATAAATAAATAAATTACAAAAAAGTTTTAGACCTTTAATATTTACAAGTATTATTTTCTGATCTATTTAAACCCAAGGCACTAGGAGAGATAGTATTAATATAAATATATACAAAATCATCATTTATGGGGTATTTTTTAATGGGAGGTGTCTGTCCCAAACCCTAACCTCTACATTTACACCTAAAATAACACACATTTTATTTTTGCTTGTTTTTTAAAGGATTGTTTGTATTTCTTTAAAGTGGAATTGAATCATTTAGATTGATCATGAATTTAATTTTACACAGAAAATGCTGTCCCACGCTTTTATGTCACGACCGAATCACAAAGACTTTTATTCTGTAGGCAGAGCCTTGTTTAGCCATGCCCCTGCCTTTTAGAGCAGGAAGTGAGGCTGCATCTCTGTCCCTCATGGCCACATGGTGAGCAGTTAGATCCCATAGTTTGTTTGGGAGTAAATGTGTTCCAAAATCTGGAAATCAGTGTGGAACATTAAGAATCGTCACTACCGAAACACAGATTTTCTAAAATTAAGTTAAGCTTTTTGTGTTTTAATGTAAAGTATTATGATTTCGGGTGTGTAAAACTGTTGAAAGCTGTTTTTGCCAGTCATGTATTGGCCAGCATTTTGGAGTTCTGCTCAAAATAAGCTAAAATTGTCAGCCAACTTTCACCTCTGATGCTACAAGGAAGTGAATTAAGAGTAGATTTAGCTCCACACCCAAAAACACAAGCGGCGCATGATGCCGCAAAGTGCCATACGCCTATATTAATCAATGTAGCCTTTCACACTGGCCGCAATGTCTATGCTATAATATACAATCTTGGCTGATAAACAAATAAACAATTCTAGTTTTAACTCCCTTGAGTGGGTTAATGTTGAGGAATCTCCTCCTCTTCATACAGCGCTACATCATCTGGTGAGAAAGCCAGCAACAGTCATGGCAGTTAGTCAAAATTTTATTATTAATGTCTTTGTGTCATTTACATAAAGTGTATATGAGTAATAAATGGATAATACAGGTTACTGTAGAAAAGAAAAAAAAACACTCCATAAAGGCAGAGAAATTAAACCGTACTCCTGAAAAATAACCCTTTTAAGTTCCCCCAAGCAAGTCTAGACCTAAACTACAAGGTATTATCAGTGGTATCATTTACAGTATCGTTTACAGTGCCTGTCAAATCCAGACATTTGTTTAATAACAAATTGATATATATGACTATTTTGTTTCACTTTCATTGACTACCACATTCGGGGTTTTCTGTGGGCCCGTCTCAAATCGACCCCTATTTCCCTACATGGAGGATTGCTAATGAGGGAATGTGAGTGAGTGGCCTGATTAGGCTTTGAAGGGGACTAGATTTATTGGAACTTTTGGACTGTCTGCCCTTATGGAAAACCTTTGGACATAAACTAAATACATTCTTGACTTCAGTCAATAAAAAGATGGATGTTTAGACAAGTTCTGTTTGCATTTAGGCCACCTTCATTAATGAATTGAGTTAATTCATTCATCAAGTCAAGTCAACTCAAGTCAAGTCAGCTTTATTGTCAATACTACAGTATGTACAGGACATACAGAGTATTGAAACTGCATTAATCTCAGACCCCATGGTGCAGCAATAACATTAAATAGACAGTAAACAGGAAATGTGTAATTAAATAGACACTAAAAAAACATTAATCGTAAAAATAAACACTAATTGTGGAAAAAAAGAATAAAAATAATAATATAAAGATAAGAAGGTCCTGAAATTAACACTAAGGTGACATAATTATTAAATTATTAAAGTGACATAATTAATTAATTCATTCATTTTTATGACTTTCTGACAAACAGGAGACATCAGGTGTGGCTAGAAAAAACATGTTAGACCCTCGGACCCTCAGCACTGGAGTACCATAAAGTTTTGTGCCCTCATGTAGGGCTGAGCAATACAGCAATATTTATAAAGATAAATGACATCACGACATGGCACCAATCTGATTTTATTAGCATATTGTGGATAGTGTCAGTACTTAAACGCTTCCAAACTGCATGTTTGATTAAAAAGAAATATAGAAAAATAATGTCTCAGCTAAACTTGTGACTTCAGCCTTACTCAGAAAAAGCTTTTTTTGGTGTATCTAATAGAGAGAATAAGGACTTTATTTTGAATTTACTGTCATATTTCAAAATTCAATATACACAAATGTACATTCTAGTAAAGAAACCATATAATATGTATATATATCGTTATAAAACATATCAAACAAAACCTCATATCTCCATTTTTGTCATATTCCAGTTTTTTATATGATTTGAAAATACCTTTTGTCCTTTATATTGTGTCAAACTTTCATGTTAAATGGGCCAAAGGAAACGGCCCAAAATGGCTTGGAAAGACATCTGGTTCCATTGACTTGCATTAAAAGTAAAGTAGGTTTTTTTCTTTTCCTGTAAAGTTACCATTTTGGAGAAATGAGGTTTTGTTCCGACAACAGCGCTATATATACACTATATATATGTGTGTGTTTATATATATATATATATATATATATATATATATATATATATATATATATATATATATATAGTATCTTTTCGAGATTGTACATTTGTGTATATAGAATTTTGCTAAATATGACAGTAAATTCAGTAAAATATTTTTTTAAAGGACCTTAAAATGAATATGCACTCCTTTAGCAATTAATGCTTTTATACCGCTTAAAAATTGATATAACATTGTTTTTGTAACTTTTTGGCCGTTCGATGTTGTTAAACTGCAAAAGCCTTTGTATGTATATTATACGTTGTTAAATAAAGCATAAAAATGTCTCAGCTAGTATTCACTACATAGGGAACAAGGGAACAAAGGAACAAGGGAACAAGCTCCGGCGTTGGTCTGAGACGCTCCCGGCGACTCCTGATTGGTCGAGGTCAGATGTGTCGTCACACCCATGCAAGAAGGCGGTCGAGTCTGCGATCGCAAAGCCGCTGCTGCGTTAACACTGTCTGTCTTATTAACTGTAGGATCTGTTTTCTCGGTCCTGTTTGAAGTTGAATGATCAGTCGCGATACTGTCTAACATGGTCGGGGTGAAGGTCATCGCCAACGATGCCGAGTTCCAGCCCGAACTCACGGGCGCCGGCTCCAGACTCGCCGTGGTGAAGTTCACCATGGCTGGGTAAGCACCGCAACTCGAGCTCGGGGCTTCAGGCCTTCAGCGGAGAGGGAGAGTTAGCTTAGCATCGCCGGACCAGCGCTGCAGGGAAACTGGGGGTTACAGCTGCGAAACCGAAATCAAATACAGGTTAATTAAGGGCGTTTCTGGTCAGCTTTGAGGTCTTGGTTTAGAAAAAGTGATGAGAAATGGAGTTTTGTGTTAGCCGTTAGCCTAGCCACATTGCTATGTATGACTTAGCAAAACAGCAGTGAGGAGCTGAAGGCAGACAGTAATATTAGTGGAAATGAGAAATAAAGAGAGAAACAAGCTTAATTAAGCCGGCTTAACCAACATAAGGCTGTTTTACAGTTTGGTATATGTTAATAGAGCAATGTCAGTTTATTGGTTATTAATATTATAAAGCCAGTAAGACTGAATGCAGTGTTTTGGGCATTAATAGACAATGTAAAGCCACTGTGGCTGAGTGGAGTGCACTGTACAGTAACAGTAGAGCTGCTGTGGCTGGATGTTCAATATCCTGGCAATCTGAGCTCCAGCTCCTTTCTCTCTCTCTTTTCGCCCTATTATTGTCTGATTTCCGTTTTGACACTTGCTCTTTTATTTTCAGGTGTCAGCCGTGTCTGAGAATAGCTCCAGCCTTCAACATGCTAAGCAGCAAGTACCCACACGTTGTCTTTCTTGAGGTGGACGTCCATGTGTGTCAGGTGAGTGGACTGAATTTAGGCTGCGTTTTTTTGTGGCCACAACACTAATATGACATCCTGCGTCTACATTTGTGGTGTCTACAAAACTAGTGATGAGATGTACATCTTTAGATTCAGCTTCAAAACATCTGGGGCTGGTTTCCCAGACCACATGACCAACACTGAGAGTTACAGTTGATTGTTGATTTAAAGTGTTTTACCTTATTTCATCTATTTCATCATTTATCTGGAATAGGATTTCACCTTGGTCAGAATGTACTGTCCATTTTAGAGCTCATTTTAGGTTTCAAGAATAGAAAAACTCTCGTCTGCTGATGTGTTTTAAAGGTGGAAGGAACTTTAGGGAAACTACAACTTCTTTAGGGTGGATTTTTGTTGGGTTTGAAATGCAAGTGGTCGTCTTTATTATCCTGTAAATCAGTGGCTAAGCAGAATTGGTTCACACCATAGGGATTCCCAATGTTTGTATTGTAGTGTGATGAAAGCAAACATGATAAACTATATAAAATCATGAATTCTGTCAAACTGATGAGGCTGAGGGATGTAATACTGCAATACAGAACATTACAGTAGCACCACATGTAAAATATTAAACATTGGTTTTAAGCCAAAACCCATGTCTCACTTCTCTCGTCTCTCAGGGAACAGCTGCAGCCAACAACATCTCCGCCACGCCGACGTTCTTGTTTTTCCGAAACAAAGTGCGGGTGGATCAGTACCAGGGAGCAGACGCCTCGGGCCTGGAGGAGAAGATCAAACAGCATGTAGAGAATGATCCAGGAAGCAACGAGGATTCGGACATTCCTAAAGGATATGTGAGTTTGGACTCACTGTAGTTTGCACTCTAGGCCATTTACAACAAAATTAGTATGGGTCATATTAATCTAGTGCACTCTCTTATGTGAACAGAAGGTTTTGTACTACCTGGGGATGCTAAAGAAAAATGCTAATACATAGGCTATGAGGGAACTCGCCTACAGCAGCATCATCAGCTAAGCTTGTCGCTGTGCTTGTTCTTTATTTGAGAGCAAAAGTGAGACAAGCCTGGGCAGAGTAAACCAGTAAGCATTAGGGGTGGGAATCTCTAGCAATTCATGATTCGATTTGATTACGGTTCAGAGGCTGCAATGCGATTATAAAACGATTATCTGTTTCAATGGGTGTCCACGCAGCACGTTACAGCTGTGCTACCCGTTCTATTCAGTGATTCCATATCTTCGATTTTGGTCTTGTTGTAGAGTGTGGGGGGTTGAGGTGGGACGCTGTATCTCTTCTCCAAAGCATGCAACATAGCGCGAAAGCCCTAGTTCTCAACGACTGAGAACGGATAAAAATCATTGGCTATAAAAGTTGCGTAGTTTGTAGTTTGCTACGTCCTTTCCGAATTGGGTGGAAGCTCTGACATCACTTGATCAGTGGCCCTTTGGTTGGTAGCAACTAAAAGCTCTAACTAGCTCGCCTAACTAGTAGCTAACGAAAAGACAAAGAGAAAGATTTAAGACAAACAAGGATAATTTGGAGATGAATGGACTTATTTGTGTTTATAATCACTCCAGCTGGTTTCCTGATACGTTTAATCTGCAACGAGAAACTGACAAACACTAAAAAAACGTGAAGCCTAATCAGTTTCTCGTTCTTCAGCTTGTTTAAATTGTCCCGTTCCACCTTAAATGGTGCAGATGTTACATTCCCGCGCCTCAGGCACCTTTTAAGGAGGAACGGGAAAATTTGAACAAGAAGCTGGAGAATGAGAAGCGACTTCAGCCTCGTAAAAAGTACAACATTGAGAGACATTTCACAGAACACTGTTCTACTTTTGTGGAAAAGTTTCCTGCCAGAGATGTGAGAAAAGCGGCTATAGCTGAGCTAAAGCTTAAAGCAGAGCAAAGTAAGTCTGTGTTTTTTTTGTATTATATTTTTAGGACATCAGCACGTACTGAGACACATTTGCAGCCAAGATGGTAATGTTGTGGCTCCCAAGGTGGTTTGATTTTTGTTGAAAGGACAAAATGACTCTTATTGACAGTTGGGTTGTGACCCCTGCACTAGCTTTTAATGTAGTGTGCCGCCACAGACTGTCCAGGCGCTGCACTTCTGTACTTTGCGAAGTTCCGCCTTTTGCGTTCCGTCAACAATATGTTATCAATTAAAAATTAGAAAATCTATTTTTGATGTTAGTGAATTGATTCAGAATCGTCCATGTCCGATTTCCCCCACTCCTAGTTAGCACGGCGATGCCCAAAAAACAAAAAAAACAAATGAACTGTAATTTGAGGGCTGAAACATTTAAGGGTCGGTTTTCCAGGCACAGATTAAGCCTAGTCCTGGGTACTAAGTTGATTTTCATGTCAAATAACAGGATTGTATACATGGCAAAGCTTTATTTGTTCCTTAAAGCCATATTTGCTTTGTCTCGTCTTCAGTCTGAGCAAACACTGTACTGACAGTGTTCTCTAAGAAACTGCGCTTTAAGTATAAAAAAAAACAAACAGGGATGTGCTACGTTTTTAGCTGCCAAAAATAGTCAAAAAGGGCACTTTCGAGAAAAATGGCTGAAAATATTGACCGAAAAAGTAGGGGTTTAATAGGCGTGCAATGAAATGTCAAAATAAGACTATGCAATCCGTTTTAATGATAATAAAAATGAGAAATGAGTCTAAAAAAATTAAATGAAATTGAGTTTGTCTCATTCAGAGAGCACAGACGCATCCAAACAGTGAAGGTGTTGTCCACGTGGAACTATTTCACAAGTTCTACAAAGCGATTGATGCTCAGCAAGAGCTGATTATTAAGAGAGGGCACACCCAAGAACTCCACAACAGCTTTGATATCACTTGAAATCACAACATCCTTCTTGATGTGCAGAGTACAGCAAAAAAAACAAGCAGAAAGGAAAGTCCCTGCAAGCATGATGACGACGACATCTGTACCCAGTTTTTGAGAGGACGAAAATATTCCGAAATGGGTGTGACCGAAATGCGTGTGCAAAATAAGTAGTGGAACTCGATGTCTTTTTTTTTCAGCTTCAGTCCACAGAGTGTCCACATCTTGATATTTGCAGTAGATTCAATACAGCTCTTTATATTTTGTGTGTGCTTATCTGTGTGTGTGCAGATGGACCTCATGCCATTTGTGAATAAAGCTGGATGCGAGTGTCTTAACGAGAGTGACGACTGCGGCTTTGATAACTGCTTAATCAAGGACTCGTCCTACCTTGAATCAGACTGCGATGAACAGGTAAGCCGTTATGTCTGATATGCAGCTGGTTCATTTTCTCTTCAGCCAGCGAGAGAGGAGATGAGGCTGACTGAGTATTAGATGATAACTAGGTGTTCCTGTTTATAGAGAAAAGCTATACAGAGTTCCTGTTCAGTACAGAGTAGCAGAGCTGCAGAAGCCTGTTGAAAAACATCTTGAGTCCCACAAGCTTTCACTTTCACTTTGCTTCATTTAGTCTGACGTTACTCTTATTAGGAGACAGTGGTAACTGTCAGTGTGGTCTAAAGATGGGCAAAAATGGAACAACATGATACTTAAAAATGTAATGGACAAAATGCACCAGCAAAACAGTGTGTTTGAAACCACAGTGATTTCTTTTTTATTCAATATTTTGTATCCTTGGAATAATAAGGTTCTACCTCTGTTCTGAGAAGTTCTGAGATTTTGATCTTCAAAGATTTTGGATTCCAAATAGCAAAACTGATATGTGAACACGTCTCTTTCATACATGAAAATCACAGACATCCTAAATGTATTCTAAATGTACAATATCAAAACCCTATCAAATCTGTAAATGGGTTTTTCAGAAAGGTCAATGCTGATAGAACCTTATAATCCTGAGAACTCACTTTCTGCTTGGAATTATAAGGTTCTATGGGGCAAAACATAAAAAGATGCAATGATTTTTGAGGTACACAAACAGACTCATAATTTCATAAACTCATCATTTGTTTTGTAACACTTATAGTGTTGAAACAGAGCATCTGCATATATCAGAAAGTTCATTTTAATGTGTTCTGTGACGTTTTTCAGCGTAGAGACAGTATGAGGTTTTCTTTTATATCAGAGATGTTGACTTTAATCTAAAATGTCTTATATTGGGAGAAAGAAGAAAAAGAAAAAATGGATGGAGGAATGAAATTAATGCTTATATTGTAATTAAGACCCTATCAGTTCAAATGTTTACTGTTTAATTACTTTTAAGTCTTAATACTTATAAAAGTTGAGGCAATAAGACTGTTTTAAAGAGCTGTAAGAAGACAGGCAGAGTTTCAGCAAAATGATTTCATTTTTCATAAAGCTTTATAATCGTTTCCCGCAGTCACTGAGCAGAGCGGCGACATGACAAAGAAGCAGAGACCTGATTGGTTCTCTTGTGTGTATTTGAAGTGTCCATTGACTCTCAGATAAAACCTTGTAGAACTAAGTTTGAGTTTGACTTTGGAGATAGAACTTTGTTGTTTTCTAAATAAAGTCCACAAATGCATAACTTAACATTATGTGAGGTGTTTTTAAGACGTTGTCACAGAATACGAACATGTGAACAAATCAATTTTGACAAAAATGTCAGATAGAGCCTTATAATTCCAAGGGGGTGATTTGCAAAAATTAATTATCTTAAAAGAAACGGGTGAAACATCAATACATAGTTGAAAACTATTTATTTATCACAGTAACAATCATGTACTCTATCACCCACATCAAGTGGGTTTTGCTGCATTATGGTTACCGTTTAGTTCAGCTGATTATCAGGCTGTTTATGCATTAAATGAAGTGATAGGAAAAGCTCAGAATGCCTGGTTTATTGTTGTTGATGTTGTTGTTGTTGTTGTTATTGTTATTATTATTATTTTTATTATTATTGTTCCCCATTCACTTTAGTCATCTGTCAGCGCTGATGACTGTTGAAGGAATATTTTTTTTTTCAGGGATGAATTACCCACACATCTCCATCCTTGTACTACATGATATGTTACTAGTCTTGAAGAAAATCTATTTTTCTGACAGTATTAATCCATTATGCATTATGATAATGAAATCTGATACTGTTAATGTGGCAAAAGTTGTAGTTATTACACTCTTGTTTCAGAAAGATGGTCATATTGAGAAGCTTCATAGCTTTGTGTCGTAAGACTGAAGTTAAAGTATACGTTTTTGGAATTGAATCGCAGTAGTTAATGCTTTGAGTCTCAGTTTCATGAGAGAGCTTTCAGTTTACGCTGCAGCTGTGTGGAGTCTAATACACAGTGTATTAAGTTTCTCTCTCTCTTTGCAGCTACTCATCACGATTGCCTTCACTCAGCCTGTAAAGCTCTTCTCTATGAAGCTGCAGTCCTCAGACTTGGGTAAGCCGTCTGTTGTTTGCAAGATTTGGAAAAGCTGGGTCATCTAAGGCATCATGTCTTCCTGAACACCACAGTTTTTTTTTTTCTTGCTTTAATACACCAAATTTTCCTTTAGAATCATTTGATTGTTAATGATGTGACTAAGGTTTAGGAAACCACCAAATTATGTCTGCAACAATCAGTCAGTGAAGTTGATTAGTCATCAGTAATGCTGAATATGGGAAAAGCTGACATGTTCTTTTAAAAACAAGAGATCTAAACTGCTCTAACATTTACATCATTCAGTACTGTGCAAAAGTTGGAAAACGCCCATTATTTATTCAATTAAGAGCAAGTTGTTCACTTTTAACCTTTTCAACTCCTTGACACCACCGGTGGTTCCAAAACGCACTTTGATATTTTCTCATAACTTTCATATTTCATAAGCTACATTCTAAAGGTGGGGGTCGTATGAGAGCTGTAACTGTCTTCTTTCCAGTCAAATAGATGGGTGATGTAATTTTAAACCCTTATAATAAAATAAGCTGAACCCACAATTTTTATTTTCTACTGAAAGTCGACCCATTTTTCCACAAATCTGGGCTATAAACTATAAACAGATGGCGTCTCTTCAGTAGGGCTGAAAAAATAGCGCTGTAAAAAATATTTTTATAAAATAATACAGAGAGCGTCTAAGATTTTTGGCTTTCAGCAGTAAATTGTAAGCATATAGCAATATGTGTATCATAAAACACATTTACTGTTAATTTGAGGGGAACTTTCACAAAAAAAAAGTAAATAAATAAAATTTACATTTATTTCATGCAGTTACTGAATAATTTGCCTTACAATTTGGTTATGTAAATTCAGATGGACAAACCGAAATATACCCTGGAGAATAAGAGGAGATATTTCTGATATTAGACAGAAGATAATCTCAAAAGAAGACTAACAGCACTTAAAGCTTTCATCTCTGAGAGAGAGGAGAAAATCAAGCTGCTTCAGATCTGAAAACATCCACAGGTGTTTCTGTCCATCCCTTCACTGTGAGAAGACGACTCAGCGCTGTGGGTCTGAAAGGATGTGTAGCTGATCAAGAAGAACCTCACTGAGAAAAGGAGACGGACACACCAAACAAAGAAGCTGAACGATGGACTGACCACCCCAGAGTCCAGACCTCAACACCACTGAATGTGTTTGATTACTTCAGAAAATGATCAACCAGCTTCTAAGACTGAACTTTGGAGGTGTGTCTGCAGATTCTTTGAGGAACTGAAAGTGAGTCTCCTGAAAAGAATGGAAGCTGGAATAAAGGGAAAGAGTGACTCACTGAACACTGAGAAGAGATATTTTGTGATTAAAGGGTGGTCTCTGACTTTTGCACAGTACTGAAAAACTCTCCATAGCTGCACTGATGCCTGCCCCCAGACTGAAAGGGTCAGCAGTCTCCTGCCCAAACTGTCAGACTCTCAAGTGTTCTAGAGAGTCTTAATGCTGTGGTTAACGTCTATATTAGGGATGAGTTTGATTGTTTCTCCTCTCGCTCCCTCAGCTCAAGCCCCGAAGTGTGTGAAGATTTTCATCAACCTCCCGCGCTCTATGGACTTCGACGATGCGGAGAGAAGCGAGCCCACACAGATGCTGGAGCTGACCGAAGAAGACTACAAAGACGACGGCCTCATCTCGCTCCGATACGTCAAGTTCCAGAACGTCAACAGTGTGACTGTATGTTATTATATAATGTAATGAATTTCTTAAGTTCGGTTTGGAAGCTGTTAGCTGGTCATGACTAATTGGCAGTCTGAGAATGTCTGACCCTTCTGACCACTAAAACGAGAAACCTGCTCCTAAAAGCAAGTTCCATTTAACTACTATTGGGATTCGTTTAACAGGGAAGTTGGTGGAGATGGGAGTGACCATTTGATTTATGTAAAGACATCAAAAAAGATTTTTTTAAACATTTAATTGTAATTGTATCTCCTTACCATCTACCTAGTTGTCTTGGTGGATGCAGTGTGTCATTAGCTTTTTATGCCTCCATTCTTAAAGCAGCTGTGTTTTTTGTTGTTAAAATTGAAAGAAGTAGCATTACAGAGTAAAAAAACACACAAACACATTTTTGGACACAATCATGTATCTTTATGTACTAATGTCACACAAACAGGCTCTAAACAGGGGTCGGCTCTGGTTCGACAGCTGGTCACCATAGCAACACAGACAACAATCTCACCAAGCTAGTGGCCAACAAAAAGGCAACATCAGTAATTTGGAGATGGACTTGCATTCGTAAGCACTCAGCTAGTTTCCTAATACGTTTAATCTGCAGCGAGAAACTTGTCAAACACAAAAAAGTTGTGAGGATGAACTCGTTCGCCAGCTTCTTGTTTCAATTTTCCCATTCCACCTTATATTGTGCAGCAGTTACATTCTGGCGCCTCAGGCACCATTTAAGGTGGACTCGAACATTGAGAGACATTTTACAAGAAACTGTTCTACTCTTGAGGAAAAGTTTCCTGCTGGAGATGCGAGAAAAGCGGCTATAGCTGAGCTAAAGCTTAAAGCAGAGCAAAATCAGTCTGTGTTTTTATGCATATAATATTTTTAGTATATACTAGAACATCAGCACATACTGAGATATATTTACAGCCAAGATGGTAAAACGTTACTTCAATAAAATAGACATAAAATGTTGTGGCTCCCAAGGTGGTTTGATTTTTGTTGAAAGGACAAAATGGCCCTTCTTAACAAATGGGGTGCTGATCCCTGCTCTGAAAGAAAGTCTAGCTTGATGGCAACATTATGATGACAGTAGTTAAATAGTTGACTTACATCCTCGTAAGACCATTCATATGAAACTACTGTACTGCAAGACACAGGCTCAGAATACAGATTCATAAGGGAGTTTGAATGCATTTTACAAGAACTAGAACGTTTCATTCATTGAACTTCATTGAGGCACCAGTCAATATTTATGCTTTTATTTGTCTTGAATGTTTGCAGCTGTTCATCAAGTCAAACCTGGGTGACGAGGAGACGACGAAGGTGAACTATCTGACGTTTATAGGAACGCCGGTACAGGCCACCAACATGAACGACTTCAAACGAGTAAGACTGTGCTCTGTTCTGATTGGCTGACCTCATTCAGAAAGCAGTCTGGGTTGAAACACACCATATAACTTCATTGTGGAAGGGCTAACTGGATTTGTGGAGATGTGTTGGTTTTTGTGTTGTCACAAAAACAGTGCATTCAAAACGGGCTGTTTTTGCAGCTTAGTTTCCATATATGGACTGTATAGACTGGTGCATTTCGATCCGTGAACAGCGTTTACATTTTACGTCAGATTCTTATTTAAAAGAGTGAGGAAAATTAGTTTTTTATGATATGGATCTATTTAACAAAAAATGAATATTTCACAAGTCATTATCGCTCCGTGTTCCTGTTTATGTTCATATAGATCCCATTCAGGTATCATTTTCATCTATTAGATGCTTAAATTCTCAACACAAAGTGGCCAGTGTCCACTCGAAGTCCACAAGGTCATTAAAGAGCCCAAATTGTACGTTTCTTCTATTTTTTAACGAATATTTGTGTGGTTTTATGTACCAAAAACAGTCCTAATACATTTTTGCATGAGCAGTTTCTAACCTTTCTTTACCCCTTAGAATCAAACAGGCTGTTTTTGTTACTGTGCTTATGTAAATGAGTTCTGTTCTGATTGGCTGCCCTGTATTGTCATATTCAAAATGCGGTCCAGACTTAAACACTCTTTATAACCTCAAGTGGGCGGAGTTAAACTGCTGTAGGTGGAATAAGCGGATATATGTAGTTGTGTTGGTTTATGTGACATAACAAAAAACAGTGAATTCAAAACAGGCTGTGCAGCCAAGGTTACAGTACACAACTTTTGCCCCGATTCTCAGTCTAGCTGAGTCTGTGCTTGTCGGCTCTAGTCTGCAGATTTTTGGGTCAGTCGGAGAGAGAGTCGAGTCATGTGTGAGGGGCGCAGACTCAGATTTACTACCTCCTGATCGCGTTTCAGACCAGTCGGAGTTTATCAGACATGTTTGGTTTTTTCAGCCCGACTCTGAGTGTAATCTGAGTGTAACTGGTCAAAGACTCAATCTGAACAGAATTCTGCAACAGCCAATGAAAACGGAGAGCACAAAAGAAGAAAATACAGCAAGTAAACAAAGAAAAACGGCAAAAAGTCTCTCAAGTGTGGAGCGAAGCTTTTCAATGAGCTGAGTTTAAGGCATGATCGAGTTTATGTACATCTAAATCTCTAAAAATTATCACACTGATCACATTTTTAAATCCCTGAGCCTAAACATGTTTACCTGCTGCTTCTTTACTGTGTCAGTAGAAACGGCAGAGAAAACAGCAGCAGCGAAGCGCTCCATGTTTGTTTATTTGCGTCTCCTATTAACGGGAGAACAGCTTAAAAGTTGCGTATTGTGTGATCCCTAATCGTTTAGTTTTTGATCTCAGTTTTTCAGTCGCTGAAAAAAATGCGCAAAGATCAGTTGTATAGTGTATAGAGATGCTCAGTCTTTTATAATCTGTTAAGACTTTAAAAGTCTTGTATTGAACCCATGGCTCTAGTTTCCATATACAGAGTGTATAGACTGGGGAGTGAATGGCATGTTTTGAAACTTTAACAGTGTTTACATACTACATCAAACTATCTATGATATTGGCCCATACACATTCATACAGTAGTTACAGAACAAACTAGAGCCAGTCGATGTGAAGATGATTCAAATAAAGCATTAATAGTGGATCTCTGAGTGTGTGGTTTAGAGGCAGCTGCAGGATTAACGTTGTTGTGTTTCTGTTTGTGTGATGTAGGTTGTAGGGAAGAAGGGGGAGAGCCACTGAGGAGAAGACAACTGGACGTGGACACAATCAGACACAAAGCTGGAACTGTTCCACTGCTCTCCGTCAGAGAGTTTGACAGAAATTAACGGTGAGAGAGGGAGAGAGCGGAGTTGCACCTTTGGCTCAATGAGGCAAAGCATTCTCTACATTTTTATCTACGGATCATCCAAAACAAACCTGTAAATAAAGCGAATCCTTTTTCAAAGGCAAGCGGCTTTTGGAGACTTTATTGTTTACTCTGTGTGTGCGAATGATCGATGCTGGCTCTGATTTATTTTTTGTGCTTCAGTGAAAATAAGAGATATTGGATAATTCTTTTGACTGATGACCAATGAGATCCTGGAACAGTGAGTAGTGACGGACCTGGCAGTGGGTGGGAGTCCTGTATTTCTTTGGTTTTCTATGAGAGCAGAGCTAAGCAAGCTCAAGCACATCTTAGATCAAAAGGGGAACCACTCTTTCTGCATGGCACATAAAGCATCTGTGAACCCTTTTAAAGAGTATTAACAAGGTTCTTAAACCGCCAGTGTTCTCTTATACAAGGGTTTCCCCAAATTAAACAGACAGCTGATACAGGGTTCCCACAAATCCTTAAAAAGTCTTATAAAATGCATGTAAAACGTTAAGGTCATACAGTGTCTGAAAATGTATTATTTTTTACTATAAGAGATCTTTAATTTAGGGATTTCAGGTGTATTTTAATGAATCGGATGTTGGCTAAAATAAGCCGGGTCTAATCCTTTGTTTTGAGTACAATGGGGTCTAACTGCTCACCATGTAGCCATAAGGGAAAGCCTCACTTCCTGCTCTAAAATACAGGGGTGTGGTTAAAACTAGGCTCCGCCCACAGACTACAACTATGTTTCAGTAGTGACATGAAAACATGGAACAGCATTTTTTTTTATTAAAAAAAAAAACTCATGATAAATCAATCTTTCAGTTTCACTTTGAAAGGCAGATTCATCATGATTACAAATGAATTAATATATAGTGATATTGGTTTTATGTAAGGAAATATTGTTAACACTTCCTATAAATCCTGTATTGATTAGGAACAGTATTAAACATATCCTACATAAGAACCTGTTTTTGTTTGAATTGAGGAGCTGGTTGTTATGTTCATGAAAACATTCTACACATGAGCAAAAACTAAGAAGCTGATGAAAAGCTAATTAAAACTGAAAGCAGCAGTGATTAGCAAATTCTGTTTCACCTGTATTAAATTCAAAACATTACAAAACAGTATTTGATGTTTTACCTTATGAATTTTATTGTTTTTTGGAAATAGTGCTCATTCCAAATATGATACCAGCAACACGTTTCAAAAAAGTTGGGACAGGAGCATGTTTACCGCTGTCCACCTTTCCCTTTAACAGCACTTAATAACATCATTTGGGGACTGAAGACACCAGTGGATCCAGTTTTGAAAGTGGAATTTTTTACTATTCCTCGGTTATACAGGTCTTTAGCTATGCACCTCTATGGAGCCTCAGCTGTCATATTTTGCATAATGCGCTACACGTTCTCAGCGAGAGACAGACAGGTCAGTCTAGCACCCACACTCTCTGATTCCACAGCCATGCTGTTGTAACACATACAGAATATTTCTTGGTGTTGCCATGCAAAATAAGCATTAATGTTCCTGAAAAAGACGGCATCTAGAAGGCAGCATATTTGGCTCCAAAAGGTGTTCAGTGTTAAAGGTGCTTTCACAGATGTGCAGGTTACCCATTAATGCCCCCCCACACACCATGACAGATGCTGGATTTTTAACTTTATGCTGGTAACAATCTGGATGGTTCTTGTTTGATGGTCCTGGAGAACACAGCAACTATAATTTCCATTAATAATCTGAAAGGTTGACTCGTCAGACCACAATACACATTTCCACTGAGCATCAGTCCATTTCAGATGAGCTTAAGTCCAGAGAAGATGAAGTTTATCGACGACAGTTTGTCGAAGTATTCCCAAGCCCACGCGGTGATATCCATCACAGAAGCATGCTTGTTTTAATGCAGTGATGTCTGAGGGGTTGAGGGTTGGAAGTTTTTTGGCATTATTTTTTTTTACTCTGGATTCCCTGAATCTCTATTTTTTGCTGATGCATTTTTGGCCAAGTTGACAAGCCTCAACTCATCCTCGCTCATAAAGGATGAGGCCTTTCCTGGATGCTCCTTTTTTCACCCAAGCCTGATCAAGCCTTTTTGGGATGTGTTGCAAGCATCCATTTCAAAATGAGTGTATATTCATAAAATACAACGAAGTTGATTATATAAAACAGTAAATGTCTGTCCTTTTTCGGTTAAGTACAGGTCAAAGTAGATTTACCCATCAATGCTCTCTGTTTTTATTAGCAGTTCACATTCTGTCCCAACTTGAAATTGAATTTGAATTTTTCGAAGTTCTAAACTTATATTTGATATCAAAAAAGGAAACAATAGAAACACTCAGTGATTTCTATGGGTTTTACAGCAGGGAAATAAAACCACAGAAGAAGGGATGCTTTTCAACAAGTGACTTTAAAAATCCGTGACGAAGCCAAACTCCACAGGTCGATACAGCGTGATGTGTTCTTTTCATCGAGATCGTATCGCTGCCTTCAGGGAACCAGACACATGCACCCCAAAACCTTGCAAATTTGTATCCAACTTAGGCGCTCCGTAGACGGCCTTGCTGAGGTGCCAGAGAGCTGGAGAAATTCAAAGTGCCATAACTCGGCAAGAGTAAGGCCAAAAACAGACACAATGCAAGTACGCAAACACAAATGACAGCACTCGGCCAACGCATCACAAATGCTCGGTCCTTCTGTACAAAATCACTGTGTTTTTACGTTAAAACACTCAGTACTGAAGGGGGCGCTAGAGGACAAACCAGAGTGGGATCTTCTGTCATTCCAAAAACCTCAACAGCTAAACAAGTGGACAAGTAGAGGACAGTGAGCTGCTTTGCCTCTTCTGCTGGAATGGAAAGGTGATAATGTATCAGATTTTTATGCGTTTATAAGCATCTTTGTGTAAGACTCAACTGCTCGTCTGCTATGGCAGTTGGGAAATCGCTCTGGTGGTAAAGGACTGCTTGGTCAGTCTTGGCTGTTGTTATAGCGCCCGTTGCTGTAACACTCAGAATGCAGCTTGCACTTCATTGTGTTACGAAATATGTCGAGACGTCCACGTAGCTCGAAGTGTCAACATTTGTGTCCTTCGTGTGAAATATGTTTTTGGCCTAAGAGTAACCGACTTCAAACTTTAGAGGATTACAAGGCGTTATGCTTCCACTCCAACCTCACTTTGGCAAAACGTACATAAAGACATAGAATATCTGATGAAGATCAGCAGAGAAACGTTAGAACAAAGCCAAACTCCACAGGTCAGTAGACTGTGATGTGCCCTTCCCAACAAGAAACCAGAGATACGGTCCACCAGGCTGCTCGCCTGTCATCTTCTCTGAGTCGTCCATGTTGTTATTGTCATAATCACATGATCAGCAACTAGTCAACATCAAGCTTAGCACATCATCACTGAGCAGTTAGGTCATCTAGTCTGTGCAGTGCCTACTATCTTGTGTACGTGTCAGACTCCAGTCCTCGTGGGTCACAACTCTGCAGACTTCAGCACTCTGCCTCATTAAACACACCTGCTTCAGCTCATTAACAAAACCAGTAACTGAATTCAGAGCATTAGATGAAGATAAACACAGCATTTTGGGCCCTAAGGTCCCCAGTTTGACAAGCCTGATCTAGTGTAACTACACACATAAAGTGCTTCATGTGTTCTTTAGTAAAGAAAATGGTTCTATGCAGAACCATGAACACTCAAAGAATCCTTTGGATGATTAAAAGGTTTTTCACACTAATAGAAAATGTGCTGTAGATGGTTCTATATAGCACTCAAAAGGGTTCTTCTATTGTGACGATATCAAGCTAACAATAAAAGAACCCTTTTGGGGTGATTAAAGGGTTCTTTGCATCATGAAAGGGTTGTGAATCAGTGTCACAAACCCATTCATGATGTAACCCTTTTCATCATGTAAAGCGTTCTTTGAGTGTTTATGGTTCTATATAAAATCATTTTCACTACTAAAGAACCCTTGAAGAACCATCTTTTTCAAGAGAGTAACTGCCTGTAGTGCCTTTTGTGTAAAATTCAAGAAACCTGAATGATAAACTCACCTATTCAAATAGGACTGTTGCTAATTGGAAATGAACAAAAGTGAAATTATCGATAACGTTGATCGAACAATTGTTTATTTGTTGATTATTTCTTACTACACAGAGCCTTGAGTACTTCTACTCGACGTTTTATGATTTGTCACAATATCTGCTATGACACACTGCATCTTTGCCTGGTTCAGTGTGAATTTCGATCATACAAAGCACCTTCCTGCCTTCCTGCTCCCCACAAACAGTCCGTAAATGATCACAGCGGACACATTTCTCACTGCTGTTCCACTGTCTGTCAGTAGGTGGCAGCAAAAGCTTGGTTTTAAGCTCATGCTGTTGCCTCATTGCTCCTCTGTTCATTCATCCACAGTGGACATCACTCGCTCGTTGCTCCACTGTTGGATTTGGCTTCAGCCGGCCGGGTCCTTTATCTCCACACGCGTTTATATATTAATGCACCTGCAGTCGTAGCCGGAACCAGCGACTGCAGCAGAACCAGAGTTTGTTTTAAAGCCTGTTTAAGTAAAGCAGGATATAAAACACGTTTCCAGCACATTTGATGAGATATTTAGGATTTTTGTTTTGTTGTTGTTATTAAAACCTTATCCGAGTTAGTATTTATAGTATTAGTAACATAGAATCATTTTTATGCTCGTTAAGAAATTTGAGGGTCATTTTTTTGCTTGAAATAGGTTTACAGGTTGTATAACTGCATTGATCACAATCAAAACTGGTGACCATTCTATATTTGAGGAAAATAATAATAATAATGATGATTGACATTAAAAATGGGGGCCAAGCTTAAGCTTAAGGCCATGTTAACCTAGGGCCTGTAATCAATCAATCGATAGAGGGTTATCAGTATATTTTTTATTTATACTTACATAGTACAGCACCTTTCACACAAGCAATTAGGATTTATAGCTTTGCTGACTGAAAAGCTAAGAGAATAATAAAATAAACGAGAACATGAAATATATGCAATAGTGGGAGCCACGGTTGTGTGCAAAAGTCTTGGCACCCCCGCTCAAATGATTTAAGGACGTGTTTTGAGT